TAATCAGCCATGGTAGGAGTATTTACACCAGAGAAATAAGCAAATGCTAAAACGTAGAGCTTTTGTTCTCCCTGGAGAGTCTGTTGTTAAACGTTTACCAGCACATCACAGCTATTTAGTCTTTGGAGTATAATTTGAATGTGAAAAATGAGAAACGTATACACACAACACCTTTTGTTGAAGTGCTGCAAACTATGGCTGATAGAGATACAAAGAAAGTAACAGGTGTTATCAAGATACTTTCCACTGAGTCACAGAAACTCTGCCCAAACATATATATATTTTTAATATATCTTTATTGATTTCAGAGAGAGGAAAGGAGAGGGAGAGAGAGGGATAGAAACATCAATGATGAGAGAGTCATTGATCGGCTGCAGCCCACAACCTGGGCATGTGCCCTGACTGGGAATTGAACCCCGATCCTCTGGATCCTAGGTCGACGCTCAACCGCTGAGCCATGCCCGGCCTGGCTGCCCAAACATATTAAAGGACATTTATTATGTGACATAAAAATAAATCCCTGGATAGCAGGAGGCTTCTGGGAAAGAAGGTTCCTTGCTCTTATGAGAAAGCAGCAAAAGGGAACTCTTCCTGTCTGAATGTACTGGTTACAGTTGGGTCCCTGATTGGTACCTGCATCCATCACATGACAGTGGGGAAAGTCAGCCATAGGAGAAGGCAGTACTGTGGGCTGCAGTCCTGGAAGGCAGAGTGGATCAGCAATCTTGAGGCTCAGCTCTACAACCCCCTTTCTCCAGTGGTATGATGGACACCTCCAGATGTATGTTCCACTGCCACTGCAATCTCAGTAAATCCCAAAGAAAGTGATCATCTTCTAAAGCTCCAAGTTCAAACCTCTCCACTCCTTTCACTGCCAATACTATTTTCCCAGGAACTCTAGATTCAGCCAAACCTTGGATATATTCCTCTTCTCCATACCCTATGTCTCTTCAGTTATTGAGTCCTGTTGATCTTTCCTCTCTATCCCAATTCTTTACTCCAGGCCCTTCTCATCCTTAGTTTCCCATTCTTTCTACTTCAGGATTCTTCCACCTTCAATGAATCATATACCATATATATATAATTTAATCTGTATTTCTTATATAGTTTAAGAACTTAGCATCTTAAGATTTATTAAACTCCTCCACTTCTTTCTATCCAATAGAGAGACTATCTACTTTATTATTAGAACTAATAAGGTAGCAGGATACATGATGAATACAGAAAAATCAATAGCTAAGACAGTATGGTACTAAAGCAGAAATAGCCAGACATATATAGATCAATGGAAAATAAATAGCTCAGAAACTGTATATATATATATAATGATAAAGATGGCATTTCAAACCAGTAGGGAAGGATGGGATTAATCAACAAATGGTGTTGAGAAAATCGGCTCCCTTTTTGGCAAAATGTTAGATCCCTACCTTACACTATACACAAAAATTATTTCAGATGAATTTAAGACTAAAAACTGTACAATTAAATATTGTTCAGCAATTAAAAGAGATGAAGTACTGATATGAGCTACAACATGGATGAACCTTGAAAACATTATGCCAAGAAGCCAGTCATTAAGAACCATGTGTTGTATGATTTCATATATATAATGTGTAAAAAGTAGGCAAATCTATAGAGATGGAAAGGGGATTAGTGGCTGCCAGGGGCAGGAGTGGAAGGGATGGCTAAGGGGTAGAGGGCTTCTTTTTAGGGTAATGAAAATGTTTTAAATTTAATTGTACTGATGGTTGCATAATGCTGAACATACTAAAAGCCATTGAATTCTACATTTTAAATGGGTGGATTTTATGGTATGTTCTATGTTAATAAAGTTACTTAAAAAACACTTTTGTTAGGGGGAAAAAAGGGAAGAATGAATATCAGATAGGCAAGTGGCAGTTTCTGCCACAGTTAACATCCAAATCAAGAACAACTCCTACAAATAAATTTTTAAAATTAATGACATAGCAGGGACTTGGAAAAGGATATGAAAAGGCAATTTGTAAAATAAACACAAACAAATACAAATACATGGACATACAAAAAGAAACGACCCCAACAATAAAAAATGTAAATTAAAATAATGACATATCTATTTTTCAACCTATTATGATCAGCAAAGTTAAGTACATACCCTCTGAAGCAGAAATTGCATTTTCTAAGACTGTATCCCACAGAGCCATGTTACTCAAAGTGTGGTCTGTGGACAAGCAGCACTTTTGGGGCCAATCTACATTTTAATCTGATCCTCAGGCAGCTCCTATGCACATTATAATTTGAGAAGTACTGCTACAGAGTACTTATGTAGAAGAGTAAGGATATACCTATGAGGATTTTTGTTGCAGTGTTGTTTATAATGTGGACAATTTTAAAGTTAATATCCATCAATAGGGAACAGTTTAATAATTACCATATATCAATATAATGGAAGACTAAACAACTATAAAAAAGAAAGAAGTAGATATATATTTAGTGATATCAAAGATGTCCAAAACATATTATTAAATGACAATCCAGTTGATGAATAGTATGTATAATTAACACTTTTTAAAAATACATATCTCTATTGATTTCAGAAAGAGGAAGGGAGAAGGAGAGAGATACAAACATTAATGAGGAGAGAGTCATGGATCCGTTGCCTCCTGCCTGCCCCTGACTGGGGTCAAGCCCGCAAAGGGGGCATGTGCCCTGACCGGGAGTTAAACCGCGATATTCTGGACCCTAGGTCAATGCTCAACTGCTGAGCCATGCCCGGCCGGGCCACACCACTTTCATTTTAAAAAAATCTTCTTTGCCCAGCCTGAGTGGCTCAGCAGGTGAACATCGGCCTATGATCCAGAAGATCATAGTTTGACTCCCAGTCAGGGCACATGCCTGGCTGTGGGCTGGATCCCCAGTGGGGTGTGCAGGAGGCAGTCGATCAATGACGACTTTCTCATCATTGATGTTTCTCTCTTTCTCTCTCCCTCTCTCTTCCCTCTGTGAAATCAATAAAGATACATTTAAAAAAATAATAAAATTTTTAAAAAATTTAAACATGTTCATTAATAAATTAACTTTATTTAAAAAATGAGAGTGGTGCTGAGGGAGATCATGGACTCTTATGTTCTTATACACTTCTCTATTACTTGATTTTTATTTTAATTAAGTATTACTTTTATAATTGAAGAAGATTCTATTTAGACCAGCTACTGGGGGAAGGAAGTTGTCAAGGACAATGGAGTATCTAGCTCTCATTACACAGTGCAGATTCAGCTCTTGCCAATGAAACACAAAATAACTCCTCCGATGGCTCCTTACAGCTTTCAGGATAAAGTCTTCATTCCTTAGTGTGCTCCAGCTCTCTCTGCTGCTCCTACCTCACCCCTCTAAGTGCACCTACTGTTCTACCCAGCAGAACTACCTGCTTTCCTTGCACAGCCATTGAGCTCTTTCTCCTTCATGCATTACCAAAGGTGCTTCCTCTGTCTGGATTCTGCTGACTATATGATATTATGTATACACATGTACTATAAAATTATCCCCTGGTGTTTAGTAAAAGCTCTGTAAGTGTTGGGTATCATTATTATGACATCTGTCTTATTGCACTGAATTACTTGTTTACTTTAACCCTGTCACTGGACAGTAAGGCCCCTGTTCTTGAGTGCCCAGTAGGCACAGCCTGGCACAGAGTGCTTAACCAAAGTATGTTAAAACAGATTTATCTGTTAACTATATAACCCAAGCTGGACAGGGCAGGAGGTAACGTTTCCTAATTTCCAGCCCATACATCTTCCATCAGACCATTTTGTCTATAATGTATGATTTCACAATTAATCACATAATATCTTACCTTGCTGCCTAATTGTTTTATTTATATTAGATTCCACAAGAGTGGTAATCTACCCTTCTCCCTAGTCAGGAATTGTGTCATAAATATTAACCTCCCTGGGTTTTAGTTTCCTCTTCTCTCAAGTATCTATTTCATAGGACTGGTGTGGAGATTAAATATCACTTGTAAAGGCATCTCACACAATGTCTGGCACAAAATATTTGTTGCATCTCAACCTCTCTCTTTTCATCTCCTGAATGCCTGGGTTTGGCTGTAACAGATCTTGTTGATTATTTATATAACAGTGTTGTGTGAGGAGTATTTTAGTGGGCACATGTTGGATTTTCTCCCCAAAACGTTTGCATCAAACCAGCGTAGGACACGAGGAGGAGTGAAATGCTCCCAGGCTGGGTTTAGCAATCTGTAAAGCGCTTTAGCATGGGTTAGATTCATACTCAATCCCTGGCAGTTGGTATAGTTAAGCCTATTTTACAGATGAGAAAGTGAAGTCTTAGGTAAATTGCTAGTAAACTGTAGATCTGTCAGAACTCCAACTCAGCTTTTTTTTTTTTTTTTAAATATATCTTTATTGATTTCAGAGAGAGGAAGAGAGAGAGACAGAAACATCAATGATGAGAGAGCCATAGATCAAGCTCACAACCCGGGCATGTGCCCTGACCAGGAATCGAACCCCGAGCGCCTGGATCCTAGGTCGATGCTCAACTGCTGAGCCACGCCCGGCGGGCCCAACTCAGGTCTTAAGATGCTGTGGGCCTGGGCTTCTTCCATTCCCAAGCTCTGCCTATTGCGGGGGGTGTGTGGGTGTGTGTGGGTGTGTGTGGGTGTGTGTGGGTGTGGGGGTGTGTGTGTGTGTGTGTGTGTGTGTGTGTGTGTGTCTGAAGTGGGCGGGGGCGGGAACCAGACCACTTACCTTCGTGTTTTTGCCCGTCTGCCCATCTTCCCCCACCTTTTGTTTCAGGGGCTGAGTTTCTGTTGAATTCACGTTACTTTGCACTGAGGATGTCCGGTCCCTTTAAGGTCTCAGGCGACGTAACGGGCAGCCCCGCCCCCTCTCCCTACTGCAGCCCAGTTCCAAGCCCCGCCCATTGTTTTAAGCGCTTGGCCAATTAACGCCCCGCGTCAGGGTTCCCGGTTGTAGGAAAGTGGGTTTGTAACCTGTCAACTACCGGTCGGGTTCAGTTAGTCGCGGCGAGTCTCTCAACGGCCGTCCGCTGCGGAGTCCAGTGCCCCGCCCCTCCGTTGCCATAACCACAGTACACGACGCCTCCTGCCCTTTCTCCCTCTTCCCTCCTCCGGAACTCTCCTTCCCCCTCCAAGACCCTCTCCAGAGCTGCTTGTAATTGAGCAGAGCCAGCCTCTGCGCCCTTCCGCCGGGGGGATCGGGTGGGCGGCTGCGGACTGAGGCTGGCGTCCCCGAGGGGCAGGGGCATGGGGCTCGGCAGGGTGGGAGAGCTAGAAGAAAGGAGGGGA